GTACTGCTTAGGTCAGTTCCCTGGGATAATATAGTTGTCTATCTTGAGCTTTAGTTCCTTAAGACAAAAGTCATGGACATGTCGATATTCGGAGACCTAAACTGCTCTTAAGCTGGTTTCTGTTAAGAAATATGATGTGCCGCTCATTTAGTTGTTTTGTGTGTGTGCAAGCACGTGCGCCTGCACGCAGCTAGTGTGTAAGAATATAGTTGCCATAATTTCCACAGTCAATAAAAACTGCCTGCCAATTCTGAGGAATGGGCATTCTAGGAACGGCTGTTTGTTCCCACTGCCTGGCATTGCAGGTGTGTCCTCACTCTTAAGTTTCCCAGAGCAAGTGCCTACTTCTCAAACTGCTCAACAGTGTTGACTTCTAAAGAAGGGTAAGTAGTAGGCTTTATTGCTCCAAGGGCGTGGGTGGGGAAAGAATCAAGGAATACTGGGTGTAGAGGTGACCTGCTTTGCTGATGGCCCAACACTGACCCATTGTGCAAGATGGAGGACAATACCCACACTCTTGAACTAGATACCGTTTTTTATCCTGCATACCTGAAGCTGGACCAGGATTCACAATAGAGCTTTGGAATGTAAGCTCTACATTGTTCCTGGTTTACAAGGAAATGCTGTTTATCTTGTACTCAGGCCAATTCTACAGGACAGCTGGCTCCCCATCCACCTCCAGGGGACTGGTTCATAGCTAAACAATGTTAGTTGTCTCAGAAAAATCTAAACCTATGGAAAACAAATGGCCATTCACAAAAACAAGAGAAGGAAATGAGAAATAGTGGCAAATAAGGCCAGAAGCAGGAGGAAAACATAAAACACTCAGCCTGTAGTTGTGATGAGACAAGCAGTAGATACAAAGTTAGGGTACCAATTCCCAGGTGACGATCCAAGATAAAAACAATGTCAGGGCTAGGTGTGGTAGCGGCACGTGCCTTTAAACCCAGTACTCTGGAGGCAGAAATAGGTGGGTTACTGAGTTCAAGGCCAGCCCAGTCTACAAAAAAGAATTTCAGGCCAACCAAGGCTACATAGTAAGACCTAGTCTCAAAAGGCAAACAAAACAAATACAACAAAATAAACAGAATGTCAACTGAGTCTTACATAAGAGTTTTGTTTCTTCACTATTTTTTAATTACTTTGGCAGTAAAATCATGTATTTATTTATTTATTTTTTCTGTGCTCAGTATTTTTACTCGGTTAGGTTAAATCAGTGAACTGCTGGGTTGAGGGATGGCTCAGAGCACTTCCAGAGGAGCTGACTTCAATTCCCAGCAATCTAGAATGGGATCTGATGTCCTCTTTCAGTATAAAGTCGCCCATGTAAATACAGCACTCATTAAGTATTTCTCCAAATATTCAGATACATGTGGGCAAGGATCACCTCTCACTATGTATCTCGTCAGCTGTGATTACAAACTGGTAGTCATTTTCCTCTAAAATTTGTTTCAGTTTCTCAGAACAGGGTTTCTCTGTAGTTTTTTTTTTTTTTAAATATTTATTATGTACACAATGTTCTGTCTGTGTGTATGCCTGCAGGCCAGAAGAGGGCACCAGATCTCATTTCAGATGGTTGTGAGACACCATGTGGTTGCTGGGAATTGAACTCAAGACCTTTGGAAGAACAGGCAATGTGCTCTTAACCTGAGCCATCTCTCCAGCCCCCTCTCTGTAGTTTTGAAGCCTATCCTAGAACTAGCTCTTGTCGACCAGGCTGGCCTTGAACTCAAGAGATCTGCCTGCCTCTGCCTACAGAGTGCTGGGATTAAAGGCTTGAGCTACCGCTGCCTGGCTCCCCTAAAATTAAACCATTTTTCTTGGATTAATAACTTCATTCACCTGCCCTGGTCTCTTATAGACAGGAACACATACAGACTACCTATTCCTGTTGCTGCCCAAGATGGGGAAAATACAATTAGACACAACACCTCAGCCAAAGAAGGGTCTTTTTCTTTTGCTCTAGTTCTTTTTTGAGAACAGGGTTTCTCTGTAGCTTTGGAGCCTGTCCTGGAACTAGCTCTTGTAGACCAGGCTGGTCTCGAACTCACAAAGATCTGCCTGCCTCTGCCTCCCAAGTGCTGGGATTAAAGGCGTGCCCCACCACCACCTGGCGTCTTTCTTTTTCTTTTTTTTTTTTTTTGGAGATAGGGTTTCTCTATGTAGCCCTATCCTGGAACTAGCTCTGTAGACCAGGCTGGTCTGGAAGTCAGAGATCTGCTTGCTTCCGCCTCCTGAGTTAAATATGGATTAAAAGCATGCACCATCATCAACTCCACTGGTGTCTTTAAAAAATTATTTTTTGTTTTTACATGTGAGAGAGAAAGAGAACACATGAGGGAGCGCATGAGTACAGACGCTTGGAGCAAGTTACAGGCAGTTTTGAGCCAACTGACAGGGGCGCTGGGAACTTGGGCTCTCTAGAAAAAGAACAATGTTCTTAACCACTAGAGGTGTCTTTTTTTTTTCCCCCCTGGATTTTCGAGACAGGGTTTCTCCGTAGCTTTTGGAGCCTGCCCTGGAACTAGCTCTTGTAGCCCAGGCTGGCTTCGAACTCACAGAGATCCACCTACCTCTGCCTCTGAGTGCTGGGATTAAAGGCATGCACCACCACCGCCTGGCTAGAGGTGTCTTTCTTATATGCTTGAACAGAAAGGGCATATATGGGTGTACACACACTCCCAGTCATACTTTAAAACATTACCGATTAATTACACACGTATATATACACACACACACACACACACACACACACTTTCTTGCTGTTCCTTGGATATCTTATAAATCGTCATTCCAGTGCCTGCGCAGAGCACTAAGTCAAGGCAAACAATCATTTCCAACATTTTGTTATCACACTTAAAGTAACTATTTGCTTTACTAGGTTGGAAACCCTGGCCATACCCTCTAGCTCCCTGTCCACAGAATTAGCACAGCTTGTATTCCACAATGTTTGTACAGAACTTCACTACTGAAACAGGGAGCACACATTTTTCCTGGCAGTGGCCCAGCTAAAGCATGCCAGAATGGTTAGCTGTCCCCTGGGCTGAGAGAATAGAGGAAAGAGAGACATGCCATCAAGATCAAGGAGTGGCCAGCTACCACATTTTCTCTAGAACAGAGTTCTGTGTTTGTTGTATGAATACTTGTCAGTGCTGACACCTTCAAAATGGAGGACAGCTGCAAAAGTCAACCGTTGTTTCAAAACTGGGCCAAGAGTTCACAACTGAGTTTTGAAACCTCAGTGCACACATTCATTTCAGGATGCTGTCTGCTAAGCTTCAGAATTCTATGTGGGGAACAGCACAAGAGAAAGTATGCATAAATCAAGAGACCCTACTTCCTGTTTAAAACCCTGAAGATTACTGCTGCATGCTCCAATGGACACACTGATCACAGACTGTAACAGAAGTGGCAGGCTGTGCTGAACTGACAGACACAGAATCTGAAAATGAGCCAGGGAGAGCAGGCATGCCACAGGCTGCGTTGACAAACACTGCCCTCTATTGGCAGAGGACAACTGTGTAGTCAAGCTGATTTTTTTTTAATTTTTTTTTTTATTTATTGTGTATACAGAGCTCTGCCTGCATTTATCCCTGCAGGCCAGAAAAGGGCATCAAATCTCATTACAGATGGTTGTGAGCCACCATGTGGTTGCTGGGAATTGAACTCAGGACCTTTGGAAGAGCAGCCAGAGCTCTTAACCACTGAGCCATCTCTCCAGCCCAGTCAAGCTGATTTTAAAAGCCAACTTGACACAGGGTCTATTATGTAGCTCTGGATATCCAAGAACTTTCTTTTTCTGACCTCAGCAGGCATACACATGAATGTGATATATGCAGGCAGAACACACATAACTCCTTAGAAATTCTACAGAAACCAGCTTTAATCTGGTGTACACAACTCCATTAAGAATATAGTTTGCCAGGCTGTGGTAGGCTCACGCTTTTCATCCCAGCACTCATGAGGCAGATCTGAATTTGAGGCCAGTTAAGCCTACAGAGTGACTTCTAGGACAGCCTGGGCTAAGCAGAGAAGCCAAAACTAAAGCCAACCAGTCAAACAAAAAGCAAACCTTTAATCTGAGCATTAAGGAAAGAGGCAGGTGAATCTTTATGAGTTCAAGGCTACCGTGGCCTACATAGTGACTTCTAAGATAGCCAGAGCTATGTAGAGACTCTATCTAAACATATACATAATAGTTACAGCAAACAATTGGTTATTTCAACTCGCAAGTGAGAAAAAGTTGGAGGGGGGGGGAGGATGCCCAAATAGCTGGTCTGGTCTCAGACCAATTCTAAAGAGGGGTCATGCACCATGCTTCCCATCCCAGCACACCACTGACAGGTCTACCGTTTAATTCTTTTCTTATATTTATTATATATACAATATTCTGTCAGTATGTCTGCAGGCCAGAAGAGGGCACCAGGCCTCATTACAGACAGATGGTTGTGAGCCACACCATGTGGTTGCCCGGAGTTGAACTCAGGACCTTTGGAAGAGCAGTCAATGCTCTTAACCACCAAGCCATCTCTCCAGCCCGAGGTCAATCGTTCTTTACCTTTGGAAAGGGTACTTTTCCTTGAGAATGTGATTATGACAATAGCTTGTCTAGTGCTGTCTGTTACAAGTTCTGGGGGATGTTTGGCACTGAACAGAAATGTGTTCTGTGAGCATAAAAAACACTAACTTTCATTATACATCTGATTGTTAAATTTAATTGCCCTTCTCACTCTGGAGACAAGAAACTAGGGATCTGCAGACTAGGGATTCCCACATACCTAACCCCTCCCAATCTTTTAGTTCAATGTTCCAAACTATTGACTTCTGAGGCAAGATGAAGTGTTCCTTTTTCGACACAGGTGGTCACTAAACAATTTGGGAAACAGCTGTACAGCTGTACACCCTTCAAGTCAGATGAGTAGTTATGGGCCAAGGTAACTGCTGCACAAGAGGCAGTGTATTTGCTTTGAATATCTCAAGAAGCACACAGAGCACGCATCTGGGTTACAAAAGCCCTTTTATAAAGCCATTTTAAAACAAAACAAACCAAAAGGTTTATAAAAGAAAAAGATACAGAAAATAACTTGCTTCATATGTCCCCCAAAAGAGAAAAAAATAAAGGGGACAATGCCGACATGCTCAACAATAAGGATTCTTTTCCTTTTTTTTCCTTTCCTTTTTTTTTTTTTTTAATACAAAATACAAGCAAAGGATACACGCACTTAAAACGAAGTTCAGAAGACAGCAGTCCTGGAAATCCTCCAATCAGAGCAAAGCAAGAGTTTCTTTTTGTTTATGTAGATACATACAGACTGAGAGATGTGAAAATGAAGAATCACATTAGACCATCACATGATTCTACCAATGCATGTTGCATCTGTAATTCACAAACATGGTCAACAAAAACATGTTCACTTCAACTTTAATTTAAATTAAAGAAAAAACTTTAAATAAAGTGGTTACATTCACACTTTAACTTCCTTAGTACCATGCTGCCTATTCCAGCACTGCTAAGGTATTGCAAGAATGCCCAACCCTCTGATGTCTGATCATATGTCTAGCCACACTGCAACATGAAAAAAAGGGATGCCTGGCTCTCAGCCCACAGCCTAAGATAGGCTAGTTCTCTGACCCTTCCTGCTCAGAACATGAAAGATTAAGGACTAATATCGAGGAAGACTGGGAGTTTTTAGAACTGCAAATGAAGTCTAATAGATGAATCAAGGCAAACAATTACTGAGATTGTGGCTGCTGCATAACCTGGCAAGTCATGCCTTGCAGGAATGAAGCATGTATGCTGCAACATGTTCATGGTAAACTGACTATGTAGAGCTCTTATTTACAGATCTTATAATACTTCCAGAGAAAAAAGGAAAAAAATTCACTAACTTCCAGAAGATAAAGGTTTAATTGCTAGACATTTACAAACACACACTCACACATACCCACACCCACACACTTCAGGATTTTATACATGTTATTTTTAGGGCATGACTGAGTACTATACTCCCCACCCCACCAAAAAAGGAAGAAAAAAAATCCAATTTACCCTCCCCCCAAATCTAGAAAACCCTCCCTCACCCGATATACAAAGTGTCTGCACAACTGTGGTGCTCTACAGCCATATAGAGCATGCTCAAACAGATGTCACTGGTTCAGTTACTCATTGGCATGGCAACAGATAGGCATATGGGACCCCTCCCCATAGTGGTTATTACAATCAGCACCACTGTTAATTAGGCTTTAAACAAAAGTATAATGCATGGATTTGATATTCAGAATCATGTATTTTGTTCTCTAAGACAAAAGGAAAATGAGAGTGAAATAGGAACATGGCTACTGACAGCTTGACATCCCGATACTCAAAAAACAACGAACTCCCCATTATCAAGTAACTTGGCAGCTTCCTCCAGAGGGAAAAAGTGACAATACTCCACCCTCAAGAGCAACCAGTGGCTTTAACTTTCCCTACCCCCTAGCAGAAAGCCTGCACTGCTTGTTTTGACCTCTATCTACATACCATGAGGAGCCTACCTTGGGATTTTTCCTACCCATTCACAGGCGGGAATTTTTTTTTGTGAACTTCTGATGCTACAGGTAAAGAGAACTGTTCTAACAGGCACTCACTCCACAACACCAACAAGGCTTTCTGTTGCTTCTAAATTCTGCTCTTGTAGCAGCCCTAAACCTGAGTTTGTTTACATGATTCTCCTCTCTCAACCTGTAGGCCAAAACTCCACTCATCACCTGCAGTTCATAAAAATAAAAACCTATCTTAAAAAAGTGTCACCTGTCATGGTGGCATTATTCCCAGCAGTGTTAAGAGTGGAAGGGGTAGGAGGTCTCCCAGCCAGGCTACATAGTAAAACCATGCTTAAAAGAAAAAGTCAAGCTTAGCTGACTATATCTATTAAAAATCTTACTAGATTATAACCTCAAAATCCATTACTGATTGGTTATCTGGAAGAAAATGATATTTGAAACAGTACCAAATAGAAAACTGAAATAAAACTTGTTCTGAAAAAAAACAAACAAATACGAGTTTAAATGAAGCAGCCTGGGGTACACAAAATGCTGTTTTGTTTTCTAAAGAAAAGGCATTTGTAGAGGATTCTCTTACCACTCTAGAAGAAATATCCTACCATTAGTTTTTAAGGTTAATTCTGAGTGGGAGGTATTTAAAATATATCCTTTGGGTCCCCTCTCCAAATCTATTTGAGGTGGAGGGTTAAAAGCAGCAGTAAGTACCACTGGGTGAGACAGAGGCTACCATTTCTGGCTGCGAAAGAGAAAGGCTTTAAAAAGAGCCTCAAGAGAACTAGAATGTAGTGTTAGTCAGCAGAGCTGCTGTAATCTGTTGGAGGTAAACCCAGAAGAGGTTAGGTAACAGACAAGCACCTTCAAATGAACATCCCCATTTCCTGAGCACTGCAAAGCAAGACAGTGAATACATTGCCACCTTACTATAGGCACACAGGGGAGAGAGAGGAAAAAAAAAAGGAGGACAGACAGTAAGCCATGGAGATGCAAAGGGCCAGTCATTAAGGGCTTATAGCTGTGACCTATCCAGATGTCTGCATTAGACCTAACTGCTAAGCACCTGTTTCCAGTTGAGTCACATTAAATGTCTTCCTATTTGCATGCATGATTTGAAGGAAGACCAGTGTTACAAACTAAAACAGTGAAAGCAAAGGTCATTCAGCGCCTGTGTGCTCACTTGAGAACCAATCAACCTAATCAGCCTGTGATTAGAAAATATACTTTTCAATCAAACTAATTAGCTAAACGAGAAGCCCAACAGACACAAGTAATCTACAAGACAGTATTGTTTCTCAATTATAGGTAGATAAAATCAAAGATGTTAGTGCAGATTAATATACTAAAGAGACTTTAAAAATTGAGGCTAAAGTTGAAAGAGACCCTATTCACAAATTTTCATGAAACATAACCTAAGAAAAGCCCAAATATCACTAGGAATGTAAGACTGAGTTGTAAACCCCTAAAAGGGAGAGATGCCTGGTGGAAACGATGGTGAGTCTCCTCTTTGCTTAAGGATGGGTACCTGAGCAAGCCCACTAAAGCAAACAGATTATATGTAATACCTCACTACACAGCTCACAACTACTCTATTACACAATACAATAATGCAACTGTTTATGTTCAAGTCTCTATTTTTGGCCATATTTAATACTCATTTATTAACAGTGCAGGGTTGAAATGACTCTCTGCTACTGGGTGTTTTATTTATTTATTTTATTTATTTTAAAGCAGATCTAAGAATGTTCTTTAAAGTGTCTTAAAAACCCGAGTAAAAATATTTCTTAAATAACCCTTTGTCCTAAGAATACCTATAAGAAAATGACATTGTCTGAGACAAACATGTCACTTAAAAAACACAAAAGCAGAATACTGAAGGAGCAAATTTAGCTTAAGTGCAGAAAAATATACAGAAATTAATTCCACTAAATCTTTAATTTAGTAGCGTAATAGGACCCCTAAGTTTTGCTTCTATTGGTGCATGGGATCTGACTGTGGAGATCTATGTCCTGACGCTCTGTTAAAGTGTCTAGACTGTTATCAGTGGCACATCGGCACCCTAAAATACAGTTCACTCATCCTGTTGAGGCTCAGGCTCTTGCTGTGAGAAACAAGAACAGAAAGGAAGGGTCAGAACAAGTAGTAAAACAATTCCACAGGAAGGAAGCAGCATTTAACACACACTCCCATGCTGTCAGTAATGAAAACAGTATTCCACGGTTGAACTGCAAGATTCTGAAGTAGCAGGACAAAGTTGTGAGATGTATATCATAGTATGCTACTATGAAGAAAAGATTTAAATATCAAAAGGAAATCAATTCTATCCCCAAACAAAACCGACAAGGTTCATGGGCCCTTGAAAACACATTTATAACATAAAAGAACTCCAATTACCTGTATTTATAAAAGATGAATCTCAATCCTTTGTATCTGAGCTTCACATTAACTCAAAACTTTATTTGCTTAAAACTCTAACATCATCAGCCTGTGAAGAAATGTTCCATGAGGTGTACACTCATCTTGTCATCCAAATTCTAGAGAATCTGTTTAATTTTCTGATCATTGGAAAACTCTATCCAAAAAACAGGATATATATATATATCTCACCAATCAATGAAAACATGAATGAAATACGAAATTAAAAATGATTTTGGCTTCTGGTGGCCCATTTTTAAAAAGGACTGTTATTGAGACAAAAGAACCACTGGCTCTTGAGTCTCTTTGAGAATAACATAGTACAAAATAAGAAAGCCCACATTTTCAGAAAAGCTCCAGGAAGCGTATTCCCTCCACACCCAGGAGATAATGTGAGTAGTCTGAGTTAACAGCCCAGAATTCATGTTCACCTCCCAACTGCCTCATCAGTTAAGTTTAGAGTCATGATTCTTTGACACGTACAGTTTAGACATGTAAGCTCATGTTAAATGATAACTGGTCTGTGAAAAGTACAGGAAAAGAAAGAACAATAATTTTCAACTAAAACCTTTCTAGTTTTTTTTGATTACTGTTTAAGTTGCTATTCTTTAGCAAAAAGCAAAGTTTCCATACCGTCCATCTCAAATCTTACTGCTTTACAGCCGTGGGATTCTTAACCTCCATTAAAAATACAAAGATGAAGCAGTCAACCCAGTGATTGACATGGCTTTCATTGGGAGAAGGGGAAGAAGGGATTGGCAAAGAAAAAAGACCATTAGACAAAATGGCAACTTAAACATTTCAACATACAATAGTTTTGAGAGTGAGATAAATATAGAGATAGATATAGAAAGAAACAATATTTTAGACAAATGAAATAGCACTGAAAGCCCATGAGTCAAGCCACAGCCCAAATCGTGTCCTACGTAGGTTTCCTTTTTTGTTTTTTGAATAAAATCTCTTCCCAAACATCACTTTTAATCTTCCCCAGATGGGGCTTCATCTTCAGACCCTTCATCTCCAGACTTCTCAAGTGGGGGGCTTGCAGAAGTCTTCTTTTCTGGAGGGCTTTCTGCTTCCTCATCCTCTTCTTTGGGAGAAGGAGTTTTATCCTTTGATGCCTTTGAAGCTGTGGGGCGACCCACTTTTCCTTTGCCTTTCACTGGACTTGGCGTCACTGAAATACAGAAAGTAACAATTTGGAGACAGGAAAAAAATGCCATTGAAAAAATTAAGCTACAGGAGATACAGAGAGAGAGAGAGAGAGAGAGAGAGAGAGAGAGAGAGAGAGAGAGAGAGAGAGAGAGAGAGAGAGAGAGAGAGGGCTCAGCAGTTAGTTCAATTCGCAGCAGCCTCATGAAGACTTACAACTGCTTATAACTCCAACAACACAACACCTTCACACACATATATATGCATGCAGGCAAACACACCAATGCACACAAAATAAAAGTAAGGAAAGTATTAAAAACAGCTACAAAAAGCCTGTAAGTATAAAAAAAAAATAATCCCACCTCACTAAGAAACAGAGTCCATACAGAAAAATATATTACTCCTAAAGAGGATAATATAACATTCAGAGCAGAAACTGGAACCAAATAGTTTCTGGACTTCCATCATCCTCTATAGTATGAAAAGTTTAAAACAAGAAATTCACAAATTATGTCTGCCAGAATAAAGCAAATCTAGACTTCTAATTTAACAAACTAGCTCCAACTAGGAAAGTACCTGGCAGAACCCTTGAAAACTCAGAAGATAAATAATAACAACAATAGATAATAACAACAGTGGTTTTGTTTCTGTCAGCATTGTTTTACCCTGCCAGAACAGAGAGCCTTCCCTCACTGCTGGGACCAACCTCAAAGCAGTCAGCACTATGAGCACAGTGAGGAACACTATGCCTGACAGCCTAGCTCACAGGCTCTTTTTTTCTTCTTTTGAATATTCATTTTTATGCACACTGGTACTTTGTAGCATACCAATATGAAGGTTACAGACAGTTGTGAGCTGCCATGTGAGTGCTGGGAATTGATCCCAAGTCCTCTGGAAGAACAGTCAGTGCTCTTAATCACTGAGCCATTTTGTCAGCCCATTCTTTTTATTTTTTTTCAAGATTTATTATTTTTAATTGTGTATGTGTTTGCCTGTGTGTAGGTATGCACATGTGTGCAGGTGCCTAAAGTAGCCAGCAGTGGCAGCTGGGGTCACAGGTAGCTATTAGCCTCACGATGTTGCTGCAGAACTGAACTTAGCTTCTCTGGAAAACCAGTCATCATCTTAATCACCAAGCCATCTCTCCAGTAGTCTTGAAGGGACCAAAGACACATGTAAAAGCCCTTTGGGTTTCTATCAAATACAAGGCCAATGCTGAGGCCTAATGAAGAATCTGTGTTGAGAAAGTTTAGTCCTTAAAAATTTTAAAGGCAGAAATGTGTTTCTACTTTCATGGGCCTCACCTGTAGCCTTTAGTCTAGGTTTGGGCATTTTCTTTTCTTTTCTCTCAGGTTTGGACTTCTTAACCATCTTTTTGTTTTTCTTTTTTGAACTGCCATAATCACTATCATCATCGTCTTCCATTAGGAAATCTTCATCGCTGCCAGAATCTTCTGAGAGGAAAGAAGAATTTCAACGTCCAACTTAAATGTACACATCCTTCCAAGTGAACAAAGGGAAAGAGTGCTGAGAAAGACTGGATTCAACAAGGAGTTATAATACCAACTTGGCTGGAGCTGCCCTTGGCCCAGTGTAGAATGGATAGGTATGGTATGGACACAAATATCTTAGAGTAGGAAAAAAAAAATCCTTTTGATTCAGGATTGGATAGATTTACTGGGTTAAAGGTATGTTCCATCACACCCAGCCACACAGTTCTATCTTTTAACAGGTAGCATCTGCCTGATGCAAGGGACTGGATGCAAACATTTAGTATCTCAGAAAATATCAAAATAATCTATAATTGCAAATAAGGACCGGAACTGGAGATGAAGCTCAATTGACCGAGTACTTGCCTAGCGTGCACAAAGCTCTGGGTTAGAGCCTCACTTCTCCATAAAACTGGGAGAGGTAGTACAGGCAGATCAGTTAGTTCAAGGTCATCCTCAGCTACACAACTGAGGTCAACATGGGCTACAGGAGAGCCCACCTAGACAAACGACTAAACAGTGGGTAACTGTACATACTCTCCTGGAAAGGTGTCTCATCGTCATCTTCTGGCTCTTCCTCACTGCCAACATCTTCCAAGAGCATCTCTCGCTGCTTAGAAGCTGCTTTGGATGCTGCCTGTCGTTGCTGGCGTACATTTTTATGATCATCTTTTTCATCTTCACTGTCATCTGCAATATTAAAAGTTACTGTGATACAACAATCAAAATATTTCACATCTGCATACAGAGGATATAACAGCAGCTTAACTTCATTTAGAAAGGAATAAAACCCATCCTTAAAAATTCCTTAAAGTAGCCAGGTGGGGGCACATGCCTTTAATCCCAGCATTTGCCACTGCTTCCACCCAGAGGCAGAGGTCGTCTGGTCCCAAGTTGTTACTGAGGGCCATGTTTGGGTCTATGTAGCTGGGATCTGTGTACTGTGTCACCTCAGTGGGCCTTAGCAATCACTGGAGATAAAATCAAAAGGCCATAATGAGTCAGCTCGGCCCTTTATTGACCCTATAAGAGCTGGCCCCTGCAGTCAGGAGAGATGGCTGCACCCCTGTAAGGGTGAACTGAAACTGAGGGCATAGATAAAGGGGAGTGGACTTCTGTCCCCTCACCTGAGGCTAGTGGCCCCAGTGACCTGGACTGACCAGCTCAGCTGCCACCCAGGCCCACACCTGGACCTTGGGCTGGCCCACCTTAACATCTACTCCCCACCCCTCGCCCGCGGACCTGCTGAAGTAGGTGAAGGGACTGGTCCTGCAGAATACCCACAGGATCTCTAAGAGTTGATGCAGACATAGAGGTCTAAGAGAAGTTCTGGTGAGGACCCAGTGGTGATGGTGTATTAGAAATCATCTTGAACCAGACAATGACTCATTGCAATGAACATTGGCTAGTAAAGCTGATAGGACAAATGATGTGGGATTCCCCTCTGTATGCTGTGAATACCACTTGGGGCTAATAAAGTAACTGCCTCGGCCTGTTGATAGAGCAGAACTTAGGTAGGTGGGGAAAAACTAAACTGAATGCTGGGAGAAAGGAGGTAGAGTCAGAGAGAGAAAGCCATATAGCCCCACCGGAGATAGACACAGAACTTTTCCCGGTAAGCCACAGCCTCATGGCAATACACAAATTAATGAAAATGGGTTAAATTAATATGTAAGAGCTAGTCATTAAGAAGATAGAGCTAGGGCTGGAGAGATGGCTCAGCGGTTAAGAGCATTGCCTGCTCTTCCAAAGGTCCTGAGTTCAACTCCCAGCAACCACATGGTGGCTCACAACCATCTGTAATGAGGTCTGGTGCCCTCTTCTGGCCTTCAGGCATACACGCAGAAAGAATATTGTATACATAATAAATAAATAAATAAATAAATAAATAAATAAATAAATAAATAAATAAATAAAAGAAGATAGAGCTAATAGGCCAAGCAATGTTTTAAGTAACATAGTTTCTGTTGATTATTTGGGGCTAAGCAGCTGGGAACCAACAAATGGCCTCCTCCTACAACAGACAAAAGGCCATACTATATGCAGATTGAGACCCCCAACACCACCAGAACAAATGAGGATATGTTGGCAAGGCAAGAAATTAAGAGAAGCAAAGGGGTTTGTTGCTGTTTTATATTTTCATTGAGGGGCATTGCAGGGATGAGAGGAGGATATAGAGGAACCGGGAGGTGAAAGGAATTGGGATGCATGATATGAAACCTCAAAGAATCAATAAAGGAGCTAAAAAGAAAATAATCCCGCAAAATATAGAGTGCTAATGTTAAAAATAAACTTTAAATGTACTTTTGATACAGAGACCTGCTGGCTTTTATCATCATGCCTGGCACAGGCACGTTTTTTTTTTTTTTTTAATTTTTCGAGACAGGGTTTCTCTGTGGCTTTTGGTTCCTGTCCTGGAACTAGCTCTGTAGACCAGGCTGACCTCGAACTCAGAGATCCGCCGAGTGCTGGGATTAAAGGCGTGCGCCACCACCACCCTGCGGCATGTAGTTTTTTAAAACTACAAAGCTGAATTAAACTATGAACACTTAAATTTATAATTGTTTAATCCTAAAATTATCAGTTACACGCTAACCTATGTTTACTGATTTTTAGAAGCCAAAGTGGGAAAAAAAATCTTAAAATAGAAGTGGGGGGCTGGAGAGATGGCTCAGAGGTTAAGAGCATTGCCTGCTCTACCAAAGGTCCTGAGTTCAATTCCCAGCAACCACATGGTGGCTCACAACCATCTGTAATGGGGTCTGGTGCCCTCTTCTGGCATGCAGACATACACACAGACAGAATATTGTATACATAATAAATAAGTAAGTATTAAAAAAAAGAAACGGTAAGGAGGCCTTCCAATTATCTCTATCCTAAGATAAAAAACACAAACAATAATGCTAAATTATTCCTCCTTACAATGGATTGGGTGACCTTTTCAATTTAGAGACAGGCAGGGAAAATTTTTAGAAGTACATTTAGATGAGCTAAAGATCCAAGGCCAAGCTTATAAAAATTATTCTCATATACTACAATAAATTAATTGCTTTATCAATAGTTATTTAGTCAGGTAATTAAAGGCCAAGTTGCTAGCCTACCAGCTCTAGACTAAGCTTGATTTTGCCGGTCTCTACTTACAGCTCTTTACTGAACTTTTAGGCTTCCCTAAAGGTTTAGCTGTCATACTTCTTCTAAAACAGTTCCTGAAGCCTTGCATGGCCCATGTTTTTATTCTGGGGGGAAAAAAAAAAAAGTCCAGGCAGTGTGGCACCTGACAGCCAAGGCTACACAAAGAAATCTTGTCTAGAAATGCTAAAAACAAAAAACCCCAAAACATAGCACCTTTTATTCTTTGAGTATAAAAATATACATGAGATACATTTGGTTCCATCTATTCCCTACTACTCAACTCTACCTCCCCTGGTTCACTCCCAACACATATCCATCCTAATTTCATGGTGTGCATGTGTTAATAAACCAGTAAGACCAATAAGTGCTATTCTTACATGAAGTATATGAATGGGTGTGAGGCTTTCTAATAGACCATGGACAACCTACCAGTGGCCAATTTCTAGTAACTATTAACTGTCAAAGAGTTCCTCAACTATGGTTGGGGCCTCTCCCCTTTGTGGTCAATATTTACTATTTCTAGTGCCAGATCTCATCTAGAGACAATTAGAGAATAAAGTTAACTATGGTAGAGCCTAAACTAAACCGAGTTGGCATGAGTTGTGCTTAATACAAGTACAGAGTCATGCATCTTGGAAGTATTAAAAATCTTAATAAAGAAATTTAAATTAGGGCTCACAAAGCAAATGAATGCCAAAGCACATTACATTATTTAATATAGATAGTACAATTTAAGTAGTAGGGAACATGTCAATAGTTAATTTAGCAGACTGTTGTCTACCTTTTATACTTTTCTTCAACAGCAGTCATGAAAAGGGACATTCAAGAAGACAAAGGAGGCATACTGGTTAAAAAATTAAAGTAGCCAGAAGCAATAAGGAATATAGAAAACTGTAAGCCACCAGACATAAGTGCTGGGAACTAAACTCAGGTTCTCTGTAAAAGCAGCCAGCACACTATATAACTGCTGAGCCATCTCTCGTCTTTCTATCATTTTTTTTTCCTTTTTTCTTTTTTTTTTGTTTTTCGAGACAGGGTTTCTCTGTGGTTTTGGAGCCTGTCCTGGAACTAGCTCTTGTAGACCAGGCTGGTCTCGAACTCACAGAGATCCGCCTGCCTCTGCCTCCCGAGTGCTGGGATTAAAGTCGCGCGCCACCACTGCCCGGCTCCAGTTGTATCTCTTAAGAGTTTGAGGCCAGCCTCAAATAATGAGTTCCAGAACAGCCACATTCACATAGTGAAACCCTGTTTCAAACAACTAAGTAAAATATTTTTTTAAGAGAAATATTTTTTTTAAAGAATTTTTTAAATTTATTATGTGTACAGTATTCTCAGTATTCTGTCTGCATGTATGCCTGCAGGCCAGAAGAGGGCACCAGATCTCATTACAGATGGTTGTGAGCCACCATTTGGTTGCTGGGAATTGAACTCAGGACCTTTGGAAGAGCCATCTCTCCAGCCCCAAGTAAAATATTTTTAAAGATAGTTTCATTTTATTTTTTTTTTATGTGAATTGGTGTTTTGCCTACATGTATGTCTGTATGAGGGTGTCAGGTTTCCTGGAACTGGAGTCATGAACAGATGTAAGGCACCAATGTATGTGTTGGGAATTGAACCCTGGTCCTCTGGAAGAGCGGCTAATGCTCTTAGCCACTGTGCCATCTCGAAAGCCTCCAAAATAAAAAGGTTTTAACCTCAATTTTTGCATGAAAATAACCTGTAGATACTTAAAAAAAAAAAAAAAGCCATAAAGAAGGAGAGTAAGGTTTACCTGGGGGAAGATAGAAACAGTCTTATAATTCCAGTACTTGAACTCAGAGATTCGCCTGCTTCTACCTCCCGATTGCTGGGATTAATAAAGGTGTGCGCCACCACTGCCCGGCCCCCAAAACTTCTTAATAAACGAAGAGTATGTAAATTATTCCTACTGCAGTAAACATAGTTTACCTGCTGAGTGAGAATCATCCTTCTTAGTCTTCACATCTTTTTCTTCTGAGTCTTCACTGTAAGGAAAAAACAAATAGAAAATACTTGTTAAGACTTAGATCAAAGATCAATGGGCAGAGTAACTACACTTATAATTCTAGTAGTAAGGATGTTCAGACAAGAGGACTGACATCAATCAGTTCCCACCCATCGTAGGCTACGTAGTCTATTTTAGGTCTGCCTGAACTAAAGAACAGGACCCTAAGCTGGGTGTAGTGGGTTTGATCCCAGCACTTGGTTGGCAGAGGCAGGAGGATCTCTTTGACTTCATAGCCAGCGTGATCTACAGGGTGAGTTCTAGGACACCCACAGCTTGTTAAACAGAGAAATCCTGTCTCAAAAAAACCAAAAAGTTCAAACAAAGATGCTAAGGAATGAAACTGCTTCATTATTATCTTCAGGGATGCTAGTGAATAGATATGATTGTACTCCTCATGGAAAAATAAACTGAGTCCCAAGACTCAACCAGAAAGGGAGTTAAGTATCTTGAACAAACAAAAACTATTTGGTAAATGAATACATTTATATTAACATTCTTTTTTCAGACAGGGTTTCTTTGTGTAGCTTTACAGCCTATCCTGGAACCCACTCCAGGCTGGCCTCGAACTATGAGATCTACCTCCTGTCTCTGCCTCCCAAGTGCTGGAATTAAAGGCGTGCACCACCACTGCCTGGTGTTTAATATCCTAAGAGTATTTTCTTTTAAAATTATTATCTCATGTGTATGGATACTTTGTCTGCACTTGTTTGTGCACCAAATATGTGCCTGGTGCCCATCAAGACCAGAAGATGTCATTGGATCCCCTGAACCTAGGATTACATACAGTAACAAGCTGCTATGTGGATACCAGGAATGGACAGTGGGTATTCTAGAAGAACAGCCAGTGCTCTTAACCACTGAGTCATTTCTCCAGCCTCCATGAGTCTTAGACTGATGGTTAAAAGTGGAGTCTGAGGTCCACCAGGTATGGTTTCAAAATCTGCTGGTCGAATTGCTTGTTAACCTCCTGCTTCATTCACTGAACCCCTCAACCTAATAGAAGTGTTATGAGAACTGACAATGTACATAAAGCACAATACAGCCTGACACTAATATTCTTTCTTCTCCTTCTTCATCATCATGTCTTAAAGTTCATCACCACCATCCTCATCAAGTCTTAAAGTTATATACTAAGAAATGTGTGTGTTCACTTTGAAAACCAGGAGAAAAATTCCATCATCCTTTTCTCAATGTAGTTATGTTACGGTTAAATTGCAATTTATGTGAACACATTTGTAAAACTAAGGGGAAAAGTTTGGAGATGAATAGCTCAGTTGCAGAATGTTCGCCCAGCACAAGTAAGGTCCTGGATCCATTCTTAGTACAAGAAAAAATAAATTAAAAAATTAAAAGGAGAGGCAAAGTATGATTACTTGATGAGAGTAAAATTTAACAGGGTTCAAAGCTTAGAATTCCACAAGGTTTATTATGGTTCTGCTATTGATCACCACAATGAAGTGTCAATACCAACTTTAGATAACAAATTACAAACTTAAAACATTCTTTTGGCTCATGCTCTTAAAAGATTTCCTGGATGGAGATCACTTCCTGTTCAGACCAAGTTTCTTCTGGAGAAGAGGCTGACCCACAAGCCTAGAAGCATGGCCTACACGGTATGAACACAGACTGCATATAGAAGCTTCACCCAGTTAAGAGCTCACAGATTGCCTTCATTTTGGAGCTCTGACACTGTAACTAGGAAGATAAAAACAATGATGCCTCCTACCTGTCTTCCTGTGAATTCTTTCCAGATCGCCTTTTATTTTTAGCTTCGCGGGGAGATGACCGAATTTTCTTAGCAGGAGGGCCTGAATCTCTTCCATAATCTTCATCTAAACAAGCAATTTTTCAAATTTGGTTAATTAGATTATGGTGTTTACATGTTGAAATCACGCATTACTCCTCACGCTATTTAAATAAATGGGACCTGATTTCCCTCATGGTTTCTTTAATTAAAGGGGAGAAGGGGAGTTAGAGATGGCTTAGTGGTTAAGAGCACATACTAGTTTGACTCCCAGCACCCATATAGGGCCCCACAACTCTAGTTTCAGAGGATCTAATGCCCTCTTCTGGCCTCTACAAACACCAGGCATGCATGTGGTACACAGATGTACATGAAGGCAAAACAAACAAACAAAAAGTACTCTTAACGCCTTTAACTTCTTTAACGCCTTTAACTTCTTAAGGGTGGTGGCGCACGCCTTTAATCCCAGCACTCGGGAGGCAGAGGCAGGCGGATCTCTGTGAGTTCGAGACCAGCCTGGTCTACAGAGCTAGTTCCAGGACAGGCTCCAAAGCCACAGAGAAACCCTGTCTCGAAAAACCAAAAAGAAAAAAAGAAAAAGAAACAAAAAAGTACTCTTAAAAAAATCGGGGCTTTTGGGCGGTAGTGGTGCATGCCTTTAGTTCCAGCACTTGGGAGGCAGAGGCAGCTGGATCTCTTGTGAGTTCAAGACCAGCCTGGTTTACAAGAGCTAGTTCCAGGACAGGTACCAAAGCTACAGAGAAACCTTGTCTCAAAAAATAAAATAAAAAAATTGGGGCTTTGCCAAGTGCTAATAGCGCACCCCCTTTAATCTCAGCACTTGGGAGGCAGAGGCAGGTGGATCTCTGTGACGATGAGTTCAAGGCTAGCCTGGTCTACAGGAGTTCCAGAACAGGCTCCAAAGTTGCAGAAAAACCCTGTCTTGAAAAATCAAAATAAATAAGTAAATTAAAAAAAAAAAACGGAGCTAGAAATATTTATTATCTAACATGCAGGAGGCTGAGATCTATTTCTCCAGTACCACAAAACAAATAATTAAAAGAGGGCCAGCAAGATGGCTTAGAACTTAAAAGCACTTGGCTGCGCAAGCCTGAAACCTGATTTAGATACCTGGAAGCCATGGTAGGAGAGAACTCACTCCCAAAAGTTTTCTCCTGCTCTTCCTTTGTGCCCACACTCATACATACATATCACACACACATACACACGACTGAAAACTATTTTAATCCCATTTCACATATTATCTAGTTCTTATATACACACCTTACACAGTTACACCATAGCTTGTCATTTAATATCATTTCCATTTAGTTTATGATTTCCCCATGTTTCAACATCTTCATAATTACTTAAAATTATAGTAATAGTTTTATTATAAACATCTTAAAAAGAACCTAAGATCTACAATCATAACATAATGTCGTGTTCAAGCAAATTCTTCTTAAACTGAAATAACAAATATATAATATACCCTGGATACCTAAAACTTTAGTCTTCTGGGACTTCAGCAATTCTTAAGTTGCTGGATTCATTATGAATTCCTTAGCAGAATATCTTAACCATTATCAGCAATATTTATTTTAATTATGTGCTTGTGTAGGCTGTATGTGGTTATGTGCACATGAGCTAATGGATGTTGAGAACTGAACTCAGGTCCTCTGCAACAGCAGTATATTTTTAACTAGTGTACCATCTTCTGCTTTTTAAAAATAACAAAACAAAACAACATTAAGCATGCCTACCTATGCCTACATGCCTTTAATCGCAGCACTCAGGAAGCAGAGGCAGGCAGATCTCTGTGAGTTTGAGGTGAGCCTGGTCTACAAAGTGAATTCCAGAACAGCCAAGACTACACAGAGAAACCTGTCTTGAAAAATCAAAAACGACCCCTCTACCACATTAAAAGAACAAAACAAAAAACCACCAAACATTTATAGTGTGTGTGGGCATGCCTGCCAGGTTGTGCATGTACAAGACAGGACAACTTGCGGGAACTGGTTCTCTCCTTCCACCGTTTGTATTCTGGAGATCAAATTCAAGTTGTCTTTGCCTGCTGAATCATATATTGCTGTTCCTTAACTACATTTTAAAAAGATAAAAATCAAAAAGAAAAAGGTCAAAACAGCTACATGTCAACTAAAGGACATAAGTATCACTATGCTTCAGTTTCCTTAGCTGTAAAATGAAACAGGAAATTCCTAACAGTATTGCTCCAAAAAAACAACCTATTAAATAAATATATACATTTAGAACAGTTCCTGGCAAGTAGCACAAGTAATTGATTTTGGTATTACTTCAGAGACAGAAGTATATATATATATATAAAATATGGTTTTTAATTCTTCTACATATCTTCCAAGCCTTCCTAAAGGGTACGTTATTAAAGCCACTGGTTGGTCTTCCAGCACCCATACAGCAGCTAAAATGGCAGTAAGTTCAGTTTCAGGATCTGATCAGGATGGCACACAGTTGGTGCACAGGCGCAAACACAGGCAAACACTCAAAACATAAAATAAAATATTCAAGTAAATAAGGTAATAAAAAGACCCATGTAACTTCATTATACAAATAGCATAAATTCTTAGGCACAGATTTTACTGTGATAATAATTGCAACAATAGCACAATTTTCTTGTTTTTGAATCAGGGTCTTGCAATATCACAGTTGGTCTAGAATTTCTGGGTTCATGTGTTCTGTCTCAGGTTCCTAAATAGCTGGACTATCTGCTCATACTACTGGGCTTAGCTAGCAGTGGGTATTTTATATAACTGCAAATTACTGGACATTTAACCTTTGGATTCTAAAACCAGATAAGAAAAAAAATCAGGTGTTTATTTCAATGATTTACAGAAAAAGCTAAGCGCCAGGCATAGCGGCACACACCTTCAACCCTTGTGAGGCAAGAGCATTTGAGTTCAAGGACAATCTAGGTAACAGACCTTATCTCAAGGAAAATGGGCAAGTTCACATTGTTTTCTTTGACACAGATCACTGGGTACTTTTAAATAAGAGACCTTTAAAGCATGACAGAATGCACATAAACTGACAGTTTGGTCAGTACAGCAAGACTGTAGAAATACAAACATACCTGCATCATCTGATTCCTGAAACTGTGAGTAATCCACGACCTTTCTATTTCTGCAGAAAAAGACAAATATAGGTAATTAAAAAAAAAAAGTATGACTTCTAAGACAACAGAATACACATTTTAGTTTTACAAACAGTAGTTCTCAGGCCAGGAATGCACGCCTTTAATTCCAGTTCTTGGGAGAGAAAGGCAGGCAGATCTATATGAATTTGAAGCCAGACAAACTCTGTGAGACCCTGCCTCAAAACAACAATAACAAAAATCCAAACAAACAGACAAAACCAACTCTCCAACTTCTACCACTTACCTCAGTGACAGCTTAAACACTGTTCTTCCCAAGCTTTATACTTCCTACCTTCCCAAGAACAGAACAGGAAACCAGGGCCACTCACCACACATGTTCATTATACAGACATTCCATATACATCTATTATATACTGATGCAGAAACAATCTTGTACACTGTAAATATGTATTACTCGCACTGGTTATATCCATGCAGGAAGGGATTGGGCAGGAGAACCAGACTAGGATGCTGGGTACAAGGGTGGAGTGGGAGGAGTCACCAAAGATGCAGAGAAGCAGCATGGAAAGAACATCCATGAGGTAAGCAAGCTTGGGACAGCACACAGATTAATAGAAATCAGTTAAGTCACAAAAGCTAGCTAAAAACAAATTTTAAGTGTTATTTTAGCCCCCTCCCCGCTTCTGTATTATACAGTCCTGGCTGTTCTGGAACTTGCTTACATAGACAAGGCTGTCCTCTAACTCAGGAGATTCTCTTGCCTCTGCCTCCCCAGCACTAGGGTTAAAGGTATTTGACACCATGCCTGGCTGCTATTTTTAATTCTTGGTTTTTTAGACACAGCTTCGTGGTGTAGTCCTGGTTGTCCTAGAACTCATTCTGTAGACCAGGCTGGCCTATAATTCAGAGATCCACCTGTTTCTGCCTCCTAAATGCCGGGATTAAAGTCATACCCTCTTTTCTGGGGAAAGGGAGGTGTGTGCATGTGTGTTTTATTTTTACTGTTATATGCATAATATTTATACTTGATAAAACAAAATTACTGCTAGGAAAAAGTGTTGTTCTCCCCCACCCACCCCCAAGACAGGGTTTCTCTGTAGCTTTGGGGCCTGTCCTGGAACTCTCTCTGTAGACCAGGCTGGCCTCAAACTCACAGAGATCCACTCCTCTCTGCTCGAGTGTTGGGATTAAAGGTGAGTGCCACTACTGCCTGGAGCAAAAAAAAAAAAAATTTTTTTTTTTTTAAATTATTCTATATACAGTACTCTGTCCACATGTTTGCCTGAACGCCAGAAGAGGGCACCAGATCCCACTGTAGATGGTTGTAAGCCACCAGGTAGTTGCTGGAAATTGAACTCATGACCCCTTGAAGAACAGCCAGCGCTCTTAATCTCTGAGCCATCTCTCCAGCTCCAGTTTTTAAGATATAGTTATATTATAATGCTCCCAAATTATGATAAGATTAAGCGTTAGAAGAAATTTTTTTTTTTTTTACTGTAATCAAAGATGTTTAAAAAAAGATGGGGCTGGAGAATGGCTCAGGTTAGGAACACTGGCTGTTCTTCCAGAGTACCTGAGTTCAATCCCAGCAACCACATGGGAACTCACAACCATCTATAATGAGATCTGGTGCCCTCTTCTGGCGTGCAGATGCATATGCAGGCAGAACATTATATACATAATAAATAAATCTTAATAAAAAAGGGACTTTTTAAAAAAATGTATGTGTACATTATCTATGTATGTGCATGCATACCGTATGTGTTCTGGTACCCAGAGAGAACAGTTCTCAGATTCCTAGGAAATGGAGTTAGATGGTTGTGAGGATGCCTAACTTGGGTGTTTGCTTTTTGTTTTGAGACAGGAATCTCACTATGTAACAAAAGCTGACTTCAAACTCAGACTCCTCCTGCTGCCCCTTTTCCAATTACAGATGGGTACCATCATACCTCACCAATGGAATTCTGTCTTCTGCTTTGTTCTATGAAAAACTATAAAATCTGGAGTTGACTTTAACGTATGTAGGGGAATGTGCACAGGTCATATATAGCATTCTACATAAGGAACTTGAGAAGTGTACTTGGATGCTTGCTGTACTAGGGCTAAAATATATTTTTAATGAACTTGTTCTTGTCAAACAGCAAGCTGAAGCCTAACATTTAAGAGGAGGATTACTAAAACACAAGGTCATGCAATGTTCTATTTATTCCTAGCCAAAACAAAAGTCTTGTCAAAATCCTACTACAGCCAGAAATGGGTGCTACACACCCCTCATCTCAGCCCCTAAGAAGCAAAGGCAGGAAGGTAAAGAGTCTGAGGTGGACTGAGCTGCAGAGAGCCCTAGACTCAAACTGTTATTTAAATTCCAAGTGGACAGTAACTACCAGAAACGTAAGCAAATACAACATAATTCAACATAGCTCAGATGACTGAACTAAACTGAATCAGGGCTCTGCCACAAAGTAGTTCTATGTCCTCGAGTAAGGGATTCCCCCTCACTGACCATGTTTTTCAACTGTAAAATAGGAGGAATACAAACTACTAGACGGGAGACATGGCTCAGTGGCTGAAGTGGCTCTTGACCAGTTCCACTCACAGCAAGAGGTTCACAATTCTTGTAACTCAAGCTCTAGAGAATCCTACTCACTCCTCTGGACTCCACATCCACATACCCACAATTACAAACAAATATTTAAAATTGTATATATAAATGTATATATATAGTTTTTTGAGACAGCGTCTTAGATGGCTTCAACTCACTGAGACCTATCTGCCTCTGAATTAAAAGCAAAACGAAGTAAGTCTTAAAACAAAGCTACTCAAGATTGTCCGGAGAATTAGTGCTACATAAATAATGGCTATCTAATAAATATCTATCTCCCTACTTTCATGTTAACTTATTTTCAGCTTTTTTAAAAATTATTTATTTATTATGCATACAATATTCTGTCTGTGTGTATGTCTGCAGGCCAGAAGAGGGCACCAGACCTCATTATAGATGGTTGTGAGCCACCATGTGGTTGCCGGGAATTGAACTCAGGACCTTTGGAAGAGCAGGCAATGCTCTTAACCTCTGAGCCATCTCTCCAGCCCCCTATTTTCAGCTTTTTGGTAGCTTTCCAGTTTCCTTTTAGGTTGGGAAGAATAGGCATTTTCTTTTTCTTTTTTTGGTTTTTCGAGACAGGGTTTCTCTGTAGCTTTGGAGCTTGTCCTGGAACTAGCTCTATAGACCAGGCTGGCTTCGAACTCACAGAGATCTGCCTGCCTCTGCCTCCCGAGTGCTGGGATTAAAGGTGTGCACCACTGTCACCAGTGGCATTTTCTTTTTTAATCAGAGTTCAGAAGAGGGCATCAGATCCCCTCAAACTGGAGTTTTTCTGAATGGTTGTGAGCCACCATCATGCTGGGAATTGAACCTTGGTCATCTGAAGAGCATCCAGTGCCCTCAATCACTGAACCACTCTCTAGCCACAAACAGTATTTTAAAGATAACAATTGAATTATACCAATTTTTACCATTTAAGTCAACTGGAGTTCTATCCAAACAACTCTACAACTTTGTACTAGAAAGAAAAATCTCCAACATAAAAAAATACGCAAAAAAGAATGCTTGAGGGGAAAAAAGCAACCCCAGAAATGTTCAAATTTCAACGATATACCTTTACTTACTTTAGCTGATAAAATCTGTGTACTATACTGAAAATGTAACATGAAGCTTGAAATGGTGGCATAGGCCTGCAATCGAGCCATTGGGTGGTGCAAACAGGACTGCTTTGCTGTGAGCATGAAGTCAGCCTGGGCTATAAAAAGAGATTTTGGAACCAGGCGTGGTGGCGCACGCACGCCTTTAATCCCAGCACTTGGGAGGCAGAGGCAGGCGGATCTCTGTGAGTTCGAGACCAGCCTGGTCTACAAGAGCTAGTTCCAGGATAGGCTCCAAAACCAGAGAAATCCTGTCTCGAAAAACCTAAATAAATAAATAAATAAATAAATAAGATTTTTGCCCTAAATAGAAAAGAATGTACCTTTTGGGACAGAGTATAATTCAGTGATAGAATGTCTTATTAGTGGCTCCCTACCCCAGATAAAATGGGACAGGGGATGCTTGTTTATAATGAACTATTTGGTTCTGAACATTGGTAAGTTGAGGTTTAAAGGTAATAGGATTTTAAAAGTGGTGGTGGTACAAATTTGTAATCTCAGCATTTAGGAGCCAAAGGCAGGAGAATCAGGCCATTATTTTCAGCTACACAGGGGAGCTGAAGGCCAGCCTGAGCTACATAAGATGCTGCCTCAACACCCCCACTCAAAACCAATGGGATTTCAATTATAATTCAATTTCTTTCTACTGAACAGTGAAAGCATGTTGAGGGCTGGTAAAAATGGGTAAAGGTACTTGTCAATCTCTAGGACCAGCACGGTGGAAAAGAAGAATGGCTTCCATGGTTGTCCTCTGGCCTCCATAAACACAATAGAACACATGCACACCCACACAAATAAATACTTGTAACAATTATTTTAAAGAACAAGAATGCTAGTTTCACATGCCAAGAATATCTTTTGTCTGCTCTAAGAAAAAGTATTCTTCTCTCTGAAGAATGAAGGAGTACATTGTTTCAGAGTTAATAGAGGTTACCAAGCTTTGAAATTATTTCACTTAACCCCCTTAATTTTACATTAAGAAAATGGAATGAGGCCACTCAGTGGTTAGGAGCACTGGCTGCTCTTCCTAAAGGACCCAAGTTCAATTCCCAGCACCCACAGGGCAGTTCACAACTGTTTGTAACTCCAGTTCCAGGGGTCTGACAACCTTACAGACATACACTCAGGCAAAAAACAAACAACTTAGCTCTGTTTTCTGTTGAGACAGCTCACTATGTAGCTCCAAAACTCACTAAGTAGACCAGGCTGGCCTTCAACTCATCAAAGAGATCCACTCCCTCTGCCTCCCAAGAGCTGGAATTAAAATTGTATACCACGATGCCAATTAGAATTTAATGTTTTGTAACAAGTCTGCTTATCTGCC